GAAGTCCACCCATCTTAAAGCGGCTGAGGTTGAGATACACTGTTTTATAGAATAAAATAATATCTGAGTTGGATGACGCCTTCTGTCATTTACACACATTTACATACAACAGTGGCAAGAAACAGGAGTTTATAGGAAGGGAATGGTGTTGGTTACTAAGCTGAAAGAACCACCAGATCTGAGTTGCAAATCTCCACACAACCATAAGAGCAGTAGAGAGTCAAAGAAACTAACATTTTGCTGGCATCTAGTGGACACCTGGATTTTCACACCCGAGATATAGAACTCCTGCAAAAGGTCTTTTCTTAGGGAGCACAGTGGCTGACAGAGCTCTGCACTTTCTTCTTGGAAATAGGGCCCAGAATATTGAGTCTCCCTTTCTCTGGCACCCAAGTCCCCTTAAAATGGACAGATTCCCACATTGCTCTCCATCACATACTCACCACAGTATCCTGGTGTGCCACATACGGTTTTCATTGTATCTTGCTCATCCACAATTTTGGATAAACCAAAATCACCTGGGAGAAAACAGAGATACGTGTGTCTTTATGTGTGTGTTCTGGGTGTGTATTTAAGTTCTCCTTTCTTCTGGAACCAGAAAGGAAAGGATTTCTGTTCTCCAATCTAGTTTGATAGGCCACCAGATCTGTGCTGCAAAAATCCAGATGACTGCTAGACAGCAGGAAAAGGCAAACATGTTCTGCATTTCTGTGCTGTCATGTAGCAATCCACATCCTGGAGCCACGAGGCTAACTTAAGCCAAAGTTGGGTAATTGTGGTTCAGTATAGAATGCGAACCTGGATGCCACAGTAAGCCATTTTCAATTTTTATTTTTTTTTTACTTTTTGATGCCTTCAAGTCAGTGTTGACTCCTGGAGACTGGTTTCTTTAGTCAGACATACAATATGATATATATATATGATCTGAGCACAGCTATTTTGTTCTGTAATTTAGGTTAAGGGTGTTGGGTGAATCCAACCTGTATTTAATGACAACAACCCAGGCTGGTTGTAAATTCATTTAGCTTCTTCTCCCAGCATAACCGAACTGAACAATTCCAGCCTGCCCTTCTCGTTCCTTTCCAGCTTGGTGCTTTAAAGTCCCATTCTTGCATGCAATTTGCAATTTGTTTTCTCACTGCCTTTCCTCCCTTCCCCTCCATCATAATTCCCGCTGCAGGGGAGGGTTAGAGCAGTTTTTTTCCAACTGTGTTCCCTTGAATGCAGCCAATTTTCTATCACTAGAGCTTTGCCTCTTGATCAGGGATTTTGAGAACTCTTTTTTTTAACTCACAAGTTCTGTAGCCTGAAAAAATGTGAAAACCTGTGGGTTGAAGCTTTGCAATAGAGGCCTTGTGCCCTCTAGGAATGATTGTTCCTCCTTTGAAAAGGAAACATGGTGTGTTAAAAAAAAAAAGGAAAAAGAACACTCAGGACTCCTATAGGAATGTAGAACTCCAATAGAAGAGAATATGTATAGCTCAGGGTTGAACTGTGGAGTCCTAGGGGCTCTCTGAGCTTGGTTGTTTGCTTGCAGACATTTAATTACCCAACTAGGTAACATCATCGGCACAGTTACCTAGTTGGGTAATGAAATGTCTGCAAACAAACTAATAAGCTCAGAGAGCACCTAGGACTCCACAGAATCTGGAACTGCCCTGTTGCTTGGTGTTCAGTATCCTTTGCATCAAAGTCCTGGGCTTACTCAGAAAGACGTTGCTCAGAAGACACTGTCTAGTGACCCTCCATCCACTGTCTCCCAATCACCTTCAGGGTTATGACCCACCCTTTAAGATACTCTGGGTTAAGGTCTCACAAACAGTGCTCGAACGAGCTGGTGGTAACAGCTAATATCCTGAGCATAATCTGTTTGTGCTCCACCTTCAACACATTATTTCCCCAGACTCACTCTAGGCTTTAACAGACATTAAACTTGAGCTTCTACTTTGATTTGGATTATTTGGAATACTTGCTCCAGTACATCAAGAAACTGGAGCAAATTTAGATAATCAACTCTATGAATCCATCACAATCGTATGTTACAGAAGGATGGGGTGGGTGTAACTCAGATGAAGCCAATATGGATATGTATTCTTTGTGGGATGAATTTTAGGTAGATTATGGTTGATTCATAAGCCATCCCCCACCCCTTGAGACTTAATTGGGATTTGTCTCCCTGGTCCTCACTGGAGGAGTCATTCCCATATATTAAAATTATAGTACAGGTAGTCCTCAACTTACGACCACAGTAGGGACTGGAAAATTCATCGTTAAGCAGTGCAGTCATTAAGCGAGGCATCACATGACCGCACCCAATTTCACAACATTTTTTGCAGCGGCCGTTAAGTGAATCACATGGTCGTTAAGCGAATCACACGGTCGTTAAGTGAATCACATGGTTCCCCATTGATTTTGCTTCTCGGAAGCTGGCTGGGAAGGTTGCAAATGGTGATCACATGACCCCAGAATGCTGCAACCGTCATAAATATATGTCAGTTGCCAAGTACCTGAATTTTGATCATGTAACTGCTGGGATGCTTCAACAGTCATAAGTGTGAGGACTGGTCATAAGTCATTTTTTCAGTGCTGTCGTAACTTTGAATGGTCACTAAATGAATGGTCATAACTCAAGGACTACCTATAATTAATAGAATTATGCAGAATGATACTGACATTATGTTCTTACCAATAGTTACAGACAAAATTACTTGTAAGGAGGGAATTCTATACAGAGCATAAAATGTTGTTAAACAGTGTGATTCTAAGAAAGTAATTGTGCTTCTATGAATGTCTTGTTAAGTTAGTCAACCCTTAATTTAATGGATCATCTGGAGGAAAGAGTGCCCATTTCTCCCAAATGTCTGTTAAATTCAAAATTCTGTTATTTGCACAAACTGCATAATGACATAATGCAAATCATGTAAATTAACACAAATGTCACATTATATAACATAACAAAATGTATCATATTTTTTTTTGCTTTGGACAAAATTTCTAAGATGATTTATATCCTTCATGTCAATTTATGTCATTTGTGCAAGTGGCATAAATTGACACAAAGGACATAATTTGCAACATCTGCAGAATGGCATCGTCACACATTTGATGTAAATTGCCACAATGTATTTTTCCACTTAATGCATATTTGCAAACAATGGTCCCCCACCATTAGTCCACTAAAACAAGATTTCAGTACATAATATTTTCTGCTTGCATCATCCCAACCCTACCAATTTTGAGAGGAGCATCAGGGGAGAGATCTGCGTAGAGCAGGTTCTCTGGTTTAAGGTCACGGTGGACTACTCCATTTGAATGCAGATACTAGAGGAAACAAAGACAGAAAAGCATATAACATTTCTGTAGTAAAAGTCCCTTACCTCTGCATGCTGTCAAAAAGGATTCCTTTGGCACAAACCAATTAATTATTTTTATTTATTTAATGTATTTAATCAAGCTATTAGCCACCTCAACTGACAAAGCAACTTTAGGTGCCATTTGTCTGCTTTTCACATTTTTCAAAAACTGACCTGTGGCAATTCTATTCCACCGCTTAAAACACCGTGTAGTAGTAGTAGTAGCATGTCCAGTGTAGACCAACAAGGTGCTACAGGTACTGAGGCTTTTCAAGACCAATATACCATTATATCTACTCTATTTGCTTTCTGTTCAGGGTGGTTACAGCCTTGTTTCTGAATTATTAAGACAAAACTCAACTTTTGTTCAGATAAAAGTCCAAGTTTCCAAACAACTGGAGTACAGTATTTATTTTAATTGCTAATTTCTTTTTATTTTATTGCTTTTCCCCAAATCATTAATAGGCACATATATTCACATATTACACAGAAACCACAAGCTGACCAAATAATAGGCAATTCTTCGCTGTGAACAAATTATAGGCAGAAAGTACAAACAGGCAGCTTCTGCTTAAAAACAGCAGGGAGCCTTTGTTGAACAGGAGTTATTTCTGAATAATTCTGAATAAATATTATATCAGGAGTTTAGCCACAGCAAAAGCACATTGCTCCCTACTGTAGTTTTCAATGATTTAGGAAAAGTCAATAAAAGCCAATCATAGCTTTATGAGTTGCCTGAGCCCAACTATTGGCTGCATTTTTGCAACGTGGCTACTGAATCATTTCTAGGTTCAATGTGCTTGTGAACCCCAAAATGTGGTAATTTTGGGGTCAGTGGCCATGTATTACCTAATCAGTCCTCCAAGTAAACAAGTTGAAGGCTTAGAGTGGCAGAAAAACACAAGACGTTCCATTCCAAACTCACTGCCAAGGTCCTGAATATGTCTCCCAAATCCTGGTTGGCTCCAGGAGCCTGGTTAATATCTATTGCTACTTGCCGGGCAAATGGAAAATAATAGTAATAATAGTAATAATAAGGTCCTTGGGAAGGACTCGAGAGGTGGATAGAAATGCCAAATCCAGTCTAAACATCTGGTTGACTGTGTAACCAGCACTAATACTTTATTCAACTTGTATGGCATCCAACTCTCGATGACTCTGGGCAGTCTGAGAAGGGCCCACTGCCATCCTGGAGCCCTTGTAGTGAGCCAACATCCAACCCTGTGGCTGGATGTAGGACTGGCTGGGGATGAAATGTGCTCTGCAAAACACAAGCATTGTGCAACGGATTTCCATATTCAGGCCACCGTCGTCTGCAGGGGGAGCTGCAAATTAGCAGCATGGCAGACGGAGCATCGCAATGGAAGCCTCCCTGCCTTTCAGAGGGGTCGGTCCCCTCCGCTCCCCCGTGGACACCTACGATTCAGACATAAATATCGAAAGAGTGGACACATCTGCTCAGACTGTGCAGAACCAATCTGGATCTTGCTGTAACTCCCTCCATTCTTTTATTTCTTTCATTTGCTCAGCTGTGAATTACTTAAAATCTTTGGCCATTTGGTAGCATTTCCTTCCCAGCCCAGAGTGATGGAGCCAAATTCTCACTTTTCTGCAAAGCAAACGATGGACTACTTTTGTATATGAATTTCTCTCATATTTTAAAACCTCTGGTTGCCTTGGAAACCATCTTCCACTGACCTTTAGTACAGAGAAACAGTGACCTACTAATATTCTCTCTAAGAGCTATATCTTTCTTCTCTTTCTTTTATGCTGCACTGAAATTTAGACCGCAGGAAAGAGCTTAATAAAAAATACACCGCTGCCATTTCTTCTCTGCCTGTCCTGTTTTTTAAGCTGCTTCTCTTTTGGGAGCAATTCCTTGGGGGGCGGGCGGGAGGGGGCTGAATACCAAATATGGAATTCTGTGCATTTCAAAGGATTCTGGAATGCTATTTATGAAACATTTGCTGAATAGAATTACACGTTAAGAGCAAGTAAGAATGTCCCTTAAGGGGGTGTCACTGCAAACCAAGATTAATGTATGATTTACAAGGTGAAATCAGCAACCTTCTCCCTGCTCGTGAATTATTCTCTCCAACCCCTGTTGCCGACAGCTTCCACACGTACATCTACTCACAAAGCCAAAGTACATTCACACGTTGGTTGAGCAAGCCATAACTTGGTAGTTTAATCTGTTTGTCAAATAAACAGCTACTAATTAGGCTCACACAACACCCTATGCTGTAAATCATGATTTCTAGATCACGTTAAGCCAAATCCAAATATATGGCTTAGTGTGTTTTTGAATCTGTTCAAGTACTTCTTTTCTGTTCCAATTTCTCCCCCAAGACTGTTCTTTAAGCTGCAAAGAATTTGCCTGTGGCACGTTGGATACATCATCTCCGTCCATCAAATTATTTCTTTGATGGTGTAAAATAGAGGGAGGATCACCTGGTGTCCTACTTTCCATCTCAATTCTACTGCTGTGATGTACATAGAAGTGTTAAGGTTGGAATACCTATAGGCCACTCCCTTACTGCCCAAATTAATTAGCCCTAGGACTATTTCCACTGACTCCGGAAAGTTCTGCTCTTTTTGATATGCAGAGGGATGTACAGATAGATAATGTCAATTCTTCACATCTCTCTCTCTCTCACTGCATTTGCCTGCATTTTATCCTGGTTTGCCAGTTAACTTTTTAAAAAAACCTTTGCTGATGTTTTATAAATAACCCTCAAGCTCTGTTTTGGCTCTCCGAACTGAGTGTTGCGTGTGCTTGCTCTGATCTGGATATCGGGATCGACTCTGGCCAAACTAAATTGGAAATTACCTTCAGTAATTTTCCAAGGCAGCACTCAGTCCCAATCAAATCACAGTGGAAATTGTACAGCTGGGTATCTTACTGGATGCATTTGACGTTACAGCCTTATCTCAAAGCAGAGAAAATTCCAGGATTTGACAGACGGGGGACTTGATTGACTCTTGGACTTTGTTTCAGAGTTCATCTTTCGATCCTTGCCTTTTTCTGCCTGACGCTGGTGGGAAATTTCTCCTCCATTTGCTAGCTATTGAAGGAACAGCTGGTTTTCAGCTGCTGAGGGGAGAAAATGTCCACCCTCCTCTTCCTGCATACTGAGATCCTACTCCCAATCAACCTTGTGCAATTATAATGAAAATATTGTACACATTGGTATATGTGAATAGAATGTCAATAGATTTTAGATACTTTGACTAGAGGACAGTTGGACAACCAGCTAATTTTCACAGTCCACATAGATCAGTGTTTCTCAACCTCAGCAATTTTAAGATATGTGGGCTTCAACCCCCCGGAATTAGCCCCTCCCTCTCATCGCTCCGCCGGTTGCGGGCGGGGGGAGCATGTATCTCTTTTCTC